TTGGTTCTAGTTGTCATTGTTTGGCAGGCTGGGGCTGGATTCCAACCAGCCAGCTCCAGTGTATGTGACTGGCGCCTTAGCTGCTTGAGCCACAGGCGCCAAGATGAGTAATGCATTTTTAGTTAAGGTGAAGTAATCGTGGTTAAAGACCAACCCCTAAAGTCCTATGATCCCTGAGCCCCTTGTTTGGCCCCTGTGAGCTACCTGGGCCCCAGGGCTGTGTGAAATGCAGCTGGCAGCACAATAGGGGCACTTAGGAAAGCTCAGTGAAAAGCAGGGCTGTCATCACCACGCCCTAGACTTCATTTTGGATCTCAAAACATGGTAAAACACAGCAGCAGAACTAGGATTAAGGGTAAGGAGAAACATGGTCCTTTCTGGCTGTGTTTTACCTCTTCTGTGGGAAAACTCGAGTAGGGAGAGCTCAGGCTCAGAGAGGAGGGGGACGGACAGCAAAACCTGGAAGGCAGGGTGGGGTGCGGTGGTGAGAGTCTAGGGGCTGACCTCCTCCTGGGTTAGAGCGGAGAACTGCCTTCGGAAACTGTCCCTGGCTCCTTCACCTGCCGGGGAGTCTGAGGACCCACTCTGGCCCTGGCTTGGAGCTGAGGCTCGCCTTCCACCTCCTGGGGTTCGATTTCCTTGGCGGTCCAGTGGAGGTCAGGATCTGAGCCCCAGACCTCCACAGTCCCTCTGCCATTAATGTTTGGAGCTCCTTATCCCGGGCTCCTACCCCTGCGTGGTTTCAGGAGCAGACAGCTCTTGCAGGTGGCTGAGCTGTGCTGCACGGCGCTCTGGGTGAGGGGCCCAGAGCAGGCCAGGCCCTGGGCAGCCTTACTGTGTCCTCTGTGCTCACAGACACGGCGTCTGATCGGCTAGTGCTGAGAGGCTGCTCCCACATAAGTGGCTCCACCTGTCAGTTCCTGTCTGTGGGAAACAAGACCGTGGGAGGCGTCGTCTTCCGCGAGTTTCAGTGTGTAGATGGCACCTTAACCTCTGCCTCTCCGCCGACTGCCGGCACTGGGTCCGGAGCCACTCTGTCTACGTCTCAGGCGACAGCGGGCACTGGGTCCGGAGCCACTCTGTCTACGTCTCAGGCGACAGCGGGCACTGCTTCCAGAGACCCCCTGACCACGTCTCAGGCAACAGCGAGCACGGGGTCTGGAGCCCTCCTCCCCTCCATGGCTCTCACCAGCCTCCTCCTGTTGGGCCTGCTGCTCTGAGGTTCCACCCCAGGCGCCTCCACCTCATCCCCAGGCCCCCAGGTGATGCCACAGCTCCCTCCTTCCCCATTATTAAAGTGTGGGTTCCCTGCTGGCCACATCTGTCCTGATTCCTGGGGCTAAGGTTCCTCCAATCACCCTCTGGCAGCACCTCCCCTCTGCGTTGGGATGGAGCGCTTGCTTTTGTGATGGATTCTGTTTGTCTCCTGGTTCTGAGGCCATCCGGGTTCCCAGCTTACCTTGCCGAGAAGCCACCCTTTGGCCTTGGGAACCTTCTGCCTCCTCCTCTGGGTACTGATGGCCACCCTCTCACACAGGACACCCCAGGACTCCCTGTTTTGACCCCAGTGGCCACACAGAGCTCCTTCTGTCTTGGCCGATGTCTGGCTCTTCAACAATTGTCTTGGCTGTGTTCAGCAGCCCACAGTGAGAGAGGAAAACGAGAATGTTATCTCATGGTCCTATCACTACTGAGGGGAGCTGCAGAGGACATCATACTCTCACTCACATGGCTAAGGCCCTTGGGCTTCTGCAGCTATAGCCACATGCAGAATGGAGC